GCAAATATAGTGTAAACTACCATAATGAGTCACATTTATTACAGAGTTACTTGTTCTCTGCGCAAGGCTCCTTAGTCAGCAATACTCATACTTCTAAAAATGAGGAATATGGTATAAAGGATGTAGGGGTGGTCAATTGGAAAAAATTAATGTTTTTAGATTTGATCTGGAACGACAACAGAAAGTAACATTTTCAGGAAACCGAAGATCGAGAGATTCGAGAGATCCAGTTGTTGTAAAAATGGTCTGACAAGCTTCCAGTCATTTTTCACTAATATAGTCACTTTTATTTGATTATTTACTTTCATGTTTCGCTATTCATTTTAGACTTTAGACTACGAAGCAGATAAGTGGCTTTCCAGGGACCTATTCCTCTGCTAATCAGGCAAACTTCATAGACTGAATTTCAACAGAATACCAGTATGAACAGGGGATTAGCTTTCGTCGACCATCAGCATCAATTTCAGGAACCTGTTGGACATAGGAAGTGAAAAACATGCGGACTTGTCGAAGATGGTCTTCCGAACAGCTCCAAAAAAAACATCAGCAGGGCGCACACTGAAGTTTGTGTCAATGTTTTCATGTTAGTGACCCCTGTGTGGTAGACTTCTCTCAATTACAAGTTTTCTATTTGCTCGTTTCTCGCTTGTTTAAGTTAACAAAATCGTTACACTGAAACCTCTACTGCATGAAATTTAAAGCGTTTATTTATTCTGACTTTTTGCTATAGAAGTTTTGTTATTAAAGAAGTTCTTTATTAGAGTACCACTTTTCGTGCAGTTAAAACAACATGGTCTTCCTCGGACGACCAAAGGATTGCTTCCCAGTGATTACGCGGGTGATGGTTTAATTTCGTGTTCTGCGTCTGTCGAGAGCTTAAAAATTTTATGATTCAGCTCTTTTCCTGTCACTTGGTGTACTCTTTCAAGGACAGCTTTTCTTCTTGCCATGATATAAGCTTCCACTGGAGGTGGTCAGTTCATCTGCTCACTGTTTATAATGCAATGTAGACTTGATATTCAACAGCTATTGGCCTATTTCATATGAAACGACATAGGCCTTCTTAAATCTTCCTTCAAAAAAGTCAAAGTTACGCATCCATGAAGTAAGACGGTTACGACCAAAGTCAGAAGTAAACAAAGTTTTGTTTCTGTGTGTTGAGCTGTAACTGTCATAAGGCGTCCCATCATCATTCGAGACAGCGGATATGTTTTTGAAGATCACACCCTCTCCAATGGTCCTTTGTACTAGAGACAGTAGACTTAGCTTTGTTTTGAATATTTCGCAAATTCTTCATGGGCTTAAGCGAACTACTGAATCTGTTTCATCTATCAGACTTTTCTCGCTGTTTCCACGTGCGCCATCTCAGGCGGATTCTGTCGAATCTACCGTCTTGTTAAAGTAAGAGATTGAAATGGAGCTAAAAATGTTCAGCTTATTCCTTGTCTGTGCATTGTTCGGTTTTGCACACAGACTTAGGGAAATAATGTTCTGCAATACTGCGGATTTGTATACTAGTCCATGTGAAATCCTACGACAAAATTTTCAACCACAGAAGTTGTTTTGTCATAAATTTGAAATTTGTAGATGGCGTGGTGCCAAGGCTTTAAAATGTCTGTTACTGTCTTTCACAAATCGTTGGTGTAAATTGGACCACCTGATTTTGCGGTTTTCAAAATGTTTTGCTATTAACTATTGCTGCGAATTACCTAAAGGACTACAAAGCCAATTAATGCAATGATGTAGTAGTCAGTTTCTCATTAACGTAGAGTTGCAAAAGCTACAACGTTTTCCTTACCCTATAAGAAAAGACTTATTCTGTTGGAGAAAGATAATATTTCAGACCTGTGCCATTCGCCTTGGACCAAAAAAAGATGCAATTGATTGTATAATAGTGACATCAAAAAATGAAAGGAAGCGAAATCTGCTGATGCCACATAGACGAATAGGGGGGGGAGAGAAATGTTGCGAAAGGAAGCACCTTGTCTTATTTCTGGTCTGTGAGTGACACTTTTACCTTTAAAGGTGCTCTCGAGGTATTGCATGAAAACGCTGCAAACTCATAGAACCACACTGATGACAATTTGATCAGAAACATTGTCTGGAAACATAGCGGATACAAAATTTCAACAGTTCGAGTTGAATGGCATTTGAAAACTTTATGCAACTGCATCTGTGGATGGTTGGACATATTTTATATTTTTATTTTGCACGTATTTTCACTGTTTTTTGTTCATTGGCGATGTTTCCGCCTTGCAGGATTCTCATGACAATTTTAACTGGGGAAGCTGTTACAGAAATTTTAGACTGGTGTTTCATGCATGATACTCTAGTTGTCCTCATTCTACTTATTTTTTGTCTGTGCATGCCTCAATTAATTTATGCCTTTGCCATTCATTATGCAGCTTACAACCTCTTTATATGGTGTCAATACTGTTGATTGGCATTTCAGGGCTTTAACTGTTCGATTAGCAGTATCGTACTCTCTTCGTTGGTGCGACTTTCCACCGTATCAATTGAGTTTCGAAGCATTTATATCAGCAGACTTAAAGCCTGCGGAATGATGCGAAAAAGCATTATGGATATTAACCTTAGTCGAGTTATGATTCATCAAAATATTTCTCGTAAATTGCGTTTCAACACTTTTCGTTGCTTTTAGTTTAATGTCTAAACACCTAAATCGCTGAAACTAAAGTGTGAAACGCAGCATTCACCACGGTTCAGTAATACACAAGGCAATAAATAATATGATTAACCAGATTATTGATTAATACGCCCGTTTCAACCCTTGCCTCTGCAAGGCAATAGACTGGTAGAGTTTCAGCGGTTCATGTTGTTCGCATCGGTTGGTAGGATTAGAATCAGTAGGCATGCCGTTGATCCGGGCTGCTGGTTAAGTGTCGTCTGGCTGACAGGAGCAATAAGCTTCGTCCAATCTGAAGAATTAGCATCCTTTCTCACGGCTGACACTCTCACAGAACTTCATCTTCATCTTCCATCGCCGCTTCTCCTTTCGGGTCGCGGAGGCAGATGAGTCAGACAGTGCTTCCAACGTTCTCGATCCTGTGCCAGAGTCTGAGTTTCGGGAAAAGAAAAATGGAGTCTGGAACAGATTCCTTCCATATGTTTGCACCAGGTTAATCTTGGCCGTCCCCTGGGCCTTTTGCCGGTCGGAATTACAAGGAACAGTTACTTAGCCTTCCTTTCTGGAGGCATTCGCAACACGTGCCCAAGCCATCGCAGCTGTGAC